GAATACAGGGAACGACGCTAAAGTGTGCCGCGGAAAATGGGCACAGTTCATTTTCGAATAAGCCAATCAAGTAGCTCTATTTCACAAACTGATTTATGATTGGTAAATATTATGTTTCGAGCGGCAAGATTGAATTAAATTTGATTGCCTGGGAACTCCACAAATCGGGGAAAATGATCATCATTCTACTTTTCTTTCTTGGATCTCTACCACAAAGTTACAGTTACAGAAATTTGTAAGTGAACAAGAGGTCTACTAGACCTCTTGTTCAGTGATTAATTGAGTTTTGGATTATCATTTTTAAGACATTCCTCCGCGAGGGCCGACACTAGAACCACATGTTATGGAACCGCTTCACCAATTGTAACGGTGTGTAATCTTCGGTTTTTACTTCGCTCAACGCTTCATACCTCGTGCTTCGACCGATCTTCTTCGAAGTTCGGTCCTCGTCTTCGTACGCGGCCCTTGTTATCCGGATTCCCCAGGGGAGGGACGGATAAATCCTTGCGGAAATAATCCGGGGAATCCGGGGATCGAACCCACGACCTTTGAGTTAAGAAACCGATGCTCTACTCCTCTTGTTCAGTGACAAACAACCGCCTGAATTCATATTCAGATTGCTGTAGGAATTGGGTATTTAAAAGTATGAATTGATTGAAATCTTCCCCCATTAACTGTAAATCCTGAAAAAGTGGTCTGGAGCAATATAAGTGGGTATTATTATAATACGTAATAGTACTTCTATTAATAGTACGTTTTAATAGTAGTAGCTTACTATTAATAGTAGCTTGCTAGTAGTAACTTGGCACTAAAACTGTAAAATAGAGGAATTCCCCAGCAGCAGGTAGTTTAAACCTACCTGTTCTCAGGGAATATCGAATCAACGGATAATCGTCTGGAACAACCCAGTTCATTGCAGAGATAAGACATCAATCTACAAAAAGCAAGACCCGTACCGGTAGCCCTGAACCTGGGACTCCGTCCTAAACCCAGTGGGCACATGTACGTACATTTAATGCTATTTCTGGGGTTAAGTTGTATCCCAGTGGTTTGCTATCGCTAACCACAGAAATGCACTTAACTAACCCCTTGCCGAAATGTGAGGTTTTGTGCTTGTAAGCGCTAGGCATGTCACTATACTTATCTGTGCAACAACCAGGACAATTATCCGTCAGAAGTGTATGGTGGTCTTGACAGGGGAAGTACATAGGTACGGAACTCATCCCAACGTGGCATATGATGTTGCGGATCGCAAAGCAGTATGTCGGTGCACGACGAAAAGTAGATCATACGACGGTTCACATGTACAGTACCGTCAAGTGACCTAGTATCGCTGTAGTTACCGGTACTTTTTGGATCATACTGAAGTAGTGAAGTAGGTAGTAAATCACAATCACATCAAACTAAATCAAGCATGCATATCAATTTGTACCATAACTGTACGTAGTGTATAATTCACACAAGAACGCATGAATTCGTTGCAAGTTGTTGATTCCAATACTACATTAAGAGCCTATCCCAAGTAAATTTCGAAATGGGCAACAGCCAATCAAAACGCTCTCCAACTCATTCCAAATCCCACTTTTCAAAATGGGGTGCATGACCCCATTTCATCCCATTTTTGACAACACATCGCCGCGCCAAACTACTGGCTGAAATTATCGATCACCAGCCAATTATTGATCTTACTCTTCATCTCTGAGGTTAAATATTGAGTATGTTGGCCAATCACTTTGACTTTTCTGGACACGAGTTATGTCCAATCGATCATGGCAACAAAATCGAAAGTACCAGTACAGTGTAGCATTTTGTCACCCCATTTATTCGCGATTTTCGAATTCTACTTGAAACAGGCTCAAACGTTAGTATATATGTATATATGTATACCTTGTCCACCGCCCGTCGCTCCTCCTTGTGCTTTGGCATTGGATTGGCTCTTGACGGTGCATTTGTCTATGTTGTAAAGGGACTCACTGTACAGTATACCTGTTAATCACTGTATATGTGTTGTACTATTAATCCTGTAGTGTATGTATTCGTCAATCAAGCCATTTGCCATCATCGAAGTGGCACGAGCACTGCGCAAGTCACACAGCACAGCGATGGTCCCTCTGGAAGACGTGTGGGTACATGCAAACTCAAGTACTAACAGCTCCAACTTCACCGCCCCACAAGACACCATTGGACTGCCCGTCACCCAAGTTGACCATCCGCATTTCAATCGTGCGCGGCCGACAGCAGCCGCCTCCGCCGGGTCACCAGAGTCCGCCAGCCAATTGATGAATGTCATGGTTGTGCTGGTCGCTGCGATCGTGGTCATGACTGCAGTTGGTCTGTTCATGGTGTTGTTCAAGCGAAAGCACCAGCGAAAAGACGACCGCCGCCGCGTACCTAGCATTTGCCTGTCCAGGACCAGATACGGAGAAGGCATGAACATCTTCGACACGTATGTATGTGGAGCCCACATCATGCTGCACTCCCCCGAAGGCACCATGCGAGAGCGAGTGCCGTCAATAGTTTTAGGGAAGGTGGACCAGTGGTACAGATCCCACGAGTCCACGTTAAGCTATGACGATGGAGAGCTAGCCATCCGAGTCTCAGAATCGTCCGATCACTCGTCCTTTAAGTTATAAGTAAGTTTATGAGTCCCAGAACTCTTTACGGTATTGCTAATCACCACGAAGTCTGCAATGGGCATTGTACAGGTGAAATACTACTACTCACAAGGTGTGCCTTCTTGCTGCCAAAGTAGGGCAGCCTGCCATCCAATTATACTTTATGATATTATACGAAAACGTGAAAACAATTGGTCAATAGGATCATACTAACGTAAGCAATCATTGATTTGCCGAAATTTGAATGTGTTTGTTTCGAGCAGATCCTCTCATGCAGGTTTTATAACTTGAACTTGGCATTTGCATTTTGATAATCCTTAACTTATTATGTTTGCTTTGGACGACGGTGGTGACATGGAATCCACTTCTGGGATGATCCTTGTCCTCGTTCCCGTCCTAGATAGCCAATACTCCGGAGTAATTGGCAGCCATTCCAACTTGCTTGTGGATAGTCAGGCTGAATATGCTCGAATTTGTAGGGACTGACTATTTCGGTCTCAAGCCACAGAACGGGGAAGCAAAGCTCACCAGTGTTTTAATTGGACAAGGTCGCTATAGGTTTATGGACTCATGCGGTTGAGAAGAACGACTGTACTAAGCAACATGTGGTGGATAGAAGTAAGGAAAATTGAAGACAAGGCAATTTAATTGTTTGGAATTTAAGTATAATTGTAAAGGTGGCCACTAACCCGAGCAGTAAATCATTGTTTTTTGAAATTTAGATTTGATTAAAGCATTGCACACGCGCCGATCCAACCAAACGATACTGTACGAATATCTATTTATTCACTGTCGGCTACTTTTCGTGTATTACTGGAGCAAGTGTGTATGTCATTAAATATCATATAGGTTCAATGTGCCTCCGAATAGTTTTATCCAATCATATCAATTCTGACATTCTATTGGGCAAGAAGTACGGATATTAGTGTGTTTTTGCCGCTTACACCAGTTCAGTCACCATTATGAGTATTTTTATTCATCCCCATAATTATTTACGTTTTGAAAACGATTTATAACGTTACATCCTGCAGCTTGTGCATGCGTACATGCGGGAAAGGCACATGTAACTTACATTGCGTTTGTTTCCGTGGAAGTGGCAGATTCAGTTCCTGGTTGGCTCGCACGTGACCACTTGAATAAAGTTGCATGTCTCCCCTCGACAATTATACACCACGATTTGAAGGAATCAAGGACCTTTAATTCTTCATAGTGATGTGTTTCTGTCCTGTTCCCGCATTTCCCAGCTCCCGAGATCCGGAAAGTTGTGATTTTCAATTTACAGAGGTTTATAATTTATTACAGGAATTTGGGCTATCTTTCCTCACAGTAAAAAAAGTGGTGTTCCAAAAACTCTCTATTCTGATAATGATGAGAAGTACTATTAATAGTACAGACCAGCACGACGCTCCAACGAATTCCAGTCATTTGGAACTTTTGGAACGTGTCGGAACACGTAAAAATCACTGCTATTTTGCATCGAATCTGTCTACTGGAACAGTATTCTGCGATAAAGTTATTTAAAAAGTGGTGCAAATGTCATCAGGACTGACAGAGTGAGTTGTGGGCATTCAATTGTCCATGTCTGGCACTCGATTTCATAAAAAACGTACGGATTGATATTATTTTAATTGCGAGAATATTTATCCGGATACGTCGCATTTTCGGACGCTCTCCCAGAACTTGTTCCACAGATGCGAACTCGTCCAAGGCAAATATAGCCAGGTAGACTAGTTAGCCGGATAGAGCTATGCGTAACCGTAAATTCCTTCTCCCATTTACGGTACGAGTACTTCACTGCAAACTGAAATTTAGGGGATACAGTGAAATGGGAAAGAACTCGACACAGTAGTACACTACAATATATAAAAGTTTGTATAATGTCACTTTTGACTAGATTAACAGTAAAAAAAATTCGTCTAAGCTGGTGTGACTGGACGCCATGGTTTAATCTCTTGTGATTCGCCAAAAAAACACACAAAATATTCATTATCCGCAACTTAGTCCTCAGTTGTATCAAAACACCTTACCACATACAAGAAACAAGATACTTTAGTACTTCGTAGTAACGTTATATGAAATACATTACTCCGAGTACGACCCAAACAGCCCATCGTAACCAGTTCAACTGGCGGTCTTGCGCGCCAGGTATTCTTCGACCCACAACGTTTGATGGTTCTTGATCCACATGACCTTGTGGCTGTTGTAAGCAGGTGGCTGTCGGCCCGAACCGCTTTCATGAAGTACAATAGATCCTGGGCAAATATTGCATGACCACAGGTCTACCTTGACCCCCAAGCGTCAGACACTTCTTGTTTCGCTGGGTTGTGAGGTAAGAGTCCCTCTTCTTGAGCCATGTTAGCCACGTTGAACGTGGAATACAGTACCCTTCAAAGACCGAATGGCCGTAGCAGTGAGATTTGTAGTCTCGTACGATTTCAGTAGCTTGATGCCGTCATCCAGAGTGTAATGCCTGTGGACGCGCTGTGGGAGCAGTGGGGTAGGCATTTCAAACTTCAAACCTCGAGGTGTTAAATTGGAGTACTATTAATACATGAACACGAGTCATATATATATACTAGTATCCAATCAACTTATGATGTGTTTTTCTGCATATTTTTTTACGTTCCTGGAAGTAGATATCAGATGGTATGTATTTTTTTTCGTGTGCACCTGTGTCAAGTTCTATTACTGCCAAGTTCGAAACTATATTCAACCAATAGGAGGTCGAGGCACTCTTATGGGGAGTTTTATTTGCATGGTTTTGCACATACTCCTATACAATAATGATACCAATACTTGCGGTATATTTATCTCTAGATGTGTTTTGCTTGGTTTTTACGTTTTTATATTCTGCTGTGAGGTGGCGACAAGGGCAACGTTGACCGCCTCCACTCCAACTCGTGACTTCGCGAGGGATGAAGCCGTCCTTGTTCGTTGTTCTCGTCTACGGAGCGCTCCTCGTATCTGGCCAAGTCACCACCACCAACGCTCCCGCCCTTCCCACTACACTACACCAATCCGCCGTCCCAGTCACAACCACCCTCACCACTCCTACCGTGACGACTCCTCCTGCCGTCAAGACCGACCCGCCGAAACCCACAGATGCACCACGACCAAGTACCTCTGTAGCAATCGCGACTCCAGAGTTGCAAGTGGAGCAAGCATTAACGCAATCCTCCACAGGCGTCCCGTTAGTCAAACCTTCCATCGAGTCACCTCCATCACCTGCCGTCACTACGAAGAGCGAAGACTCACCCCGCAATTCCACCACGTACGTCATCGTCGGAGGTGTGGTGGTCGGGGTAGTCGTACTCGGACTGGCCGTGTTCTTTCTACGCCGCCGCCGCCGGTGCGGGGAAAGTGAAGACGACAACGAGGTACGTTTCGACGCAGCTCATACGTCCAAAGTCAACGAAGGATATGCGCCACCCGTTCGAGTCTTATCTCCAGAGCCATTCAAACCTGTGAGCAACGGTGCAACATCATCCAACACCTCCACCATATCGTCGAGGCAGATGAAAGCAACCACCGACCACGCCGTGATCGATGTGACCCCGGCAGTGGACGATCATGGGAATGTTGCTCCCACCAACTTCGAGACCGAGACCACCACGGGTTTCTTTACCTGGCAAAGCTCATCTCGCCAAATGACCGCGCCGATAGCAGCGCCAACTACTGGAGCTTGGTCCACTACCCGCCAGTCATGGACGAGTGAAGGAAGCTCCAAGGCTAGTAGTCCGTCATCGTCCACATCGCATGGAGTATCGGCGACGACCAACCCATGGGCCGCCGCAGGTCGCTCCAACAGCTACGCCAGCGTCGAATTCGATCGGCCGAGCTATGGTGGGAGTAGCTACGGCAGTCGACACAGCCACGGGTCGTTCCTGTCTGACCAAGAAGGCATGTTCAGTCCCCAGAGTCATGCTGCGCATCCTCAGAGTTTCTCGGCGGCGTCGTCGTCCTATGACAGCTTTGTGGGGAAACAATAGAAAATCCCTTGTCTTTCGACAGCTATTCCAGGAAAATAAGCCGTCATAACGATAGAACTGGACAAGACCAACAGAAGTTACGGTTCAAAATTTCGATTGGCGAAAAATTGATCGAGTAATAGAATTTAAACCAACCAGCCTTTTTGTATGGAAATATATCATGGAGCCAGGCACATTTTGGCCGGAAAGGAGCATCAAGTATATCTTGGTCTTTGTATGTAGCACTTATCCGTATGAACGTTTCCATTGTATCCGGATTATTGAGAACGTTTAACCTATTTACCAGATAAAAAACGTAAGTAATAATGATTTAACGTCAACATTACGTGGGTTTAACTGAAAGAACCGAGGCGTTTAAACTAACGATCTGTAGTCTTTAGATGAAATGCACCATACTATTATTAATAATACTACACCACTTCCCGTTCAAGTTGAAATGAATTTCCAGTCAATGTGAAATGAACACGTTCGAAACACGACGATTTTCATATCAACATGAATTCTCTAACATTCAACTTGAAACATGGTACTTTGTTTCATATATATTCTGGTGTATGATTTGGATAAAGGAGGAAGATGGGTGAGGGAGGGTAGACATGATGATTGAATCACTATTGTATACTGAAGGGTAGTATAATTCATCACCTTATGGTCACTATACTATAGTTGAAGTAAGTTTAACGTTTCATTTTGAATGAACATTTTTCATGTTGAGATGTGAAACTGCACTTGTGAAATCTTATAATATTTCTGCATTTCACATTGACTGGAAATTCATTTCAATTTGAACGGGAAATGGTGTACTAGTAGTAGTATATTTACACCTAAAAAGTCCTTGGACTGCAGTGTACCACTGTACCGGCATCCCTTACCAAAATACTACACCATTTTGCGTTTACTTCAGCTTTTTTTCAAAATATTTCCACCGACAGCGGATATATTTCACCTAACACCCATTTTAATTCACCGAACCTCCATTATATTTCACACAGAATTGAAATTTGGCCATTATATTTCACCCAACCCCCGATATAATTCACCCAACCAACGGTTAATTTCAACTTTCGAAAATATATTTCGCCTGACCACCTATATTTCATGAAAAGTAAATCCTTAACCAACACAAGCAACACATCTACGGCTCAAGCACCAACGTCCATGCCTTTCATGTTCTCAGCATGGACATAAAACGGCTCAAGGCGAGCCGTGTACACACACAAAACGATTCGACTCAATTCCTATTTCATTGTTGAGTTAAATACGATACACACGGACGGAATACCTGCAATTGCCTCGTCCGCTGTGTGTTCCAAGTATTGCATGCGAAAGCGCGCGAAGAGTTTCGCGCGCTTCGATCTTTCTAGATTCACAGCTCGAATTATAATGCTTGTTAGGTGAATTAAATTTTCGAAAGGTGAAATTAACCTGTGTTTGAGTGAATTATAACACAAGTTGGGTGAAATATAATGGCTATATTTTACGTCGGGAAATGGGGTTAGGTGAAATATATCCCCTGGTGGTGGAAACCTTTTGAAATAAAGCTAAAATTAAACGCAAAATGGTGTAGTAATACTTTGTGATCGCAAGGATTTACAGTGTTTGCGCAAACACCGAAACAAAGCATCACACGAGGTCACTTTCGGATTAGGACGAAGTCCCGTCTTGAAAAGTTATGTTTTGGAGGAGATTTGCACTTGGAACTAATCTGGGATAAAAGGTTGTTAATTGCCTTAAATAAATACATTTGACCTGCAGATCGTTACATCCGTTGGGTAAAAAATACAAATGCGATACTCTATTCCTCCGTTCGGTAAGGAGTACTGTACACGGTTGAAGTATTAATTTAAATGCAAGTACTACAACGAGCTTTAGCTACACTGTACGTCACGGAGATTCGATATGGTAGCTACACTGTGGAAGCAGCAGAATGACAGCATAGCTGAGGTGTAGTTGCAGATCTGCCTCCAACAGTCAAACTTCCCTTGTACCTTTGATTTAGAGTAATGTAGTACTGTGGTAGTATATTTGACTGTGGAGCCTATAGTATTTTTCACACAAGAGAACGCGTCAATCCATGTGTACAAAAGCGCACATTGAGCGAAGCGGTGTTTTATTGATGGAATGTCTTGCTAAGAGCCCTGATTTACATCCAATTGATAACGTTTGGGGTCAATTGGCGTGGATAGTTTACGAGAATGGCCGTCAATTTCCGTCAGTGGACGAACTGAAGGTTCTCAAATTCGTGTTTGCTGGAATCAAATCAGCCAAGCCTATTTGCGTAAGCTCGTTGATGGAATGCCAACTAGAATGACCCATATAGTGTTGAGAAACGGTAATGTAATTGATATATAACTGCTCAATTGTTTGCATCACCCTGAAAAATGTAATTTTCAATAGATATATTTATAATTTTATAGTTTCGTCACCAACAACAATAGGTGGGTCAATTTACAGTTACGATAAAAATCAATGTTCATTTCCGATTCTACTTTTCACTTTCTGCTTTTCGTCACGAAATAAACCAAAAGCACCTCGCGAGGTGCTTTTGGTTTTTAAGAATCAAAAGCAACTTGTGAAGTTGGTGGACCACCCATGTAACGATGAAAATACCCAATCATCGCAGTCTATTCCATACAAATACTAATACAAACACGAAAACGCAGAGCCAGTCACCAGTTGTAAGTGACGAAATCAGGTGTCGTACGAAGCATAACGCGCTAGTTTAGGAGCATGAAGAGTTATAGTACAAGCATACCTGTGCAGTGTGGGTGGTAATCGAGGTGTCCAAAGTGGACACCGCCATTCGAAAGCCTTCGACAGTCAACGACAACGAGAATTCCAACCCTCCCTACCTTGACGTCACCCCTCTTTTGAATGCGGATACGGATGACTTTCGAGGGCCAAATTGACTCAATCTAACGTTAATAAAAATGCAAAAGAAAATACATTTGCTTTTCACAATCGAACGAAAAGCCGAATTTTCCTAAATTGACTAACGTTACACCTAACATTTGTAAAGTGTTTCGAAACTCAAATAGAATATCATATCAAAACATCGTCATATTTAAGTAATTTTTGAGAAATGTCAAAAATTCACATGCCTCTATAGTTACAGCTGGACACTACTGTAACAACGGCGTTTGCTCGATACAGTACTGTTTACAGTTAGTATTAATATTCATACTACTTCGAAGTACCAGGTAACTAAAAAACATCCCTCATCCCTTCGAACTTCGCATGCCATTCACACTTCTCTACTTTCCAATAATTACAGCTGGCTCTCCACCAGGCAACTGTACGTTGCCACGCTAGAGGTAGACACATTCCTACACGTAGTAAACCACATAACATTAGAACGACACGTACATGACACCAGTCTTCTGATACTACACCTTTTGAATTACATACAGCGGGAGGAACAAGTTGAGAATGTGCTGAAAGGTCGTCGTCGCATTAGAACTGAATTACCTTAGATCCGTATTATGTCACTGTCCATATCGAAGTTCGAACATTGCAAACACATGAGTTCATGCGTTCATTAATCTGCAACTTGCTCCCGCGCATGACGACAATGGCGATCACGACTAGCAGGTTCCAGCGGCGCGTCCTCTACGTCGTGGTGCTTGCGGCAGTAGCTGTGACGAATATAGTGGCAGCGGATAACTCGTCCAACTCCACTTCACAGATGCCCCATACCAACATGCCAACGGTCATTGCAAACACATCTGTCGTCACCACTCTGGCGCCGATTACGTCGGCGCCGCCGGTGAACACAACCACATCACCTCCAACAACCACACCTCCAACAACAAAGCCTCCAACAACAGCACCTCCAAAGACAACAACAGCACCTCCAACGACGACGTCTACTTCGCTTGCACCATCCACGTCACCTCCACATACGACTCCGCCGCCTGCCACGACGACTACTCCCGCTCCAACCACCTCAGTCGTCGCTCCGTTGCCATCCATATTAGCGATCGACATCCCACCGCCTTCGACTCTAGAAGTTGACATGTCCGACATAACGCCGATGCCATCGTCACCTCGACTTCCTCGACCGTCGACACAAAATCCAACGTCTGGTGAAGGCGACCACGACAACAGCATGGGGACGATTTTCGTGGTAAGCGTTTCCGGCGCGGCGGTCATTCTCCTCGGAATCGCCGCGCTCGTTGTGCACCGGCGGCGGCAGGCTCATCAGGACAGCTCGGACTCGACGATCGACGACAGTATATTGGCGCCCCCCTCGATTAAGACACGGCGGACAAACAACCCTTCCGTGGTGCTCGTGCAGCATGACTACGGCAGCGGCGTCCCGCCGGGAGGCATCACCAACTATGCCACTTCCGTCCGCAAGAAGCAGCGATCGCTTCCGAAACCGTCCGCATCACCGTCCACAGAGATTGCTGTGCTTGGCGGCGCCATGAACCAAGGAGGAGGCAGTCATGCCGCAGCCGCTGACGACCGATCGTCTTCGTTCTTTACATGGGACTCTCAGCGCGGGGGGAGTATCGATGACGTGGCACTGCAACGTCACTTGAACAAGCATCTGCCACCTCCGCCGCCGCCGTTGGCTTTCGGGGAATTTGACGGGGGCGTGCACCATGCAAAGTACATTACGACGACGATCACGCCATCACGGCGGCGGCGGGATTGTGTGTCATTTCAGAGTCCGAAAAGCATGAGCTACAACGACCACGTGGCCGCGATCCACGCGGCGGATGTGGGGACCGATGACGACGACGATATGACGATGCACAAATTTTCGTTCTTGTCCAATGGATCGGTTGTAGACCCAAGATATACGCCGAGACAGTATGCGCCGGCGGTATCCCTTGCCTCGGACGACGACATGAGCTCATTGGATGATAGCAGTAGTATGTACCACAGCACACGAGACTCGTACGACAGTGTCGCACATGCGAAGAGTGGGGATCGGGATACCAACCATTCCGTCGATAGCTGTGACAGTGGGTATACGTTATAGATAGGATAAAACATTATACGTATAGTACTTGACGTTACTTGGACTAGTTAGTTAGCAAAGCATTACTAGGTAGTAGTATTTGCTTGGTAGTGGAGTACTACGTACAGTACTGACTTTGTGATTTCATTCGTCTGTGGCAACACACTACCTGAAACGACTAGTACGGCCGTGTGAACACATTGTATGTAGAGTTTGTAGCTCTCGCGCACTTATTTGCATCAAACTCTGCGTGATCCAAGCTCTCTACGGTCGTTGCGTTGATTCTTGTGCTCCATCGAAGGAGGGAGTCAGTCGTCACTTGGTGACAATCATGCCGGCAAACGTTGGACATGGGTCCAGTTCACGTCAAAGCAGGTCGACCGCATGGACAGTCGAAGCTTGAAACCTTACGAGTACAATATTGCCCATTCCAACGGGCTTATCTTACCATGAACGTCCGCGCCTGCTTCCGACTTCCGACTTCGGCGGCGATCGATTTTTCTATGATGAGTTCAAACTTGCAGAAGGAGCTTCCGAGGAAGGTATTGCATTCATATTTGGTGATCCAAAATGTACCTACAAATGTTATACTCTTCAGAAAAAGAAGGCGATAGAATGGTATAAAAATGTGAATTTGCCCACTTTGGTGTGAGAGTCGCGTCAACAACGATGTGATTGGTTACCCATCCACCCCATTGTACATTTTCGTGCGGCATTCGTGAAAAGTACGTCCTTCCCCCTAGTGCACCCATGCGGCGTGGCTGCTGCGCATGCATGCATGATGCAACGTCCTCAAGGTTTCTCCATGTGTAGTGGCTGTTTCTACCGCCGCGACGAACGTGGGCACGTCATCCGTGGAGGATGCACTCCAAGCGATCCGCGATGGCAAGTTTGTGGTCGTAATGGACAACGAAGACCGTGAAAACGAAGGCGATTTGATCACCGCGGCCGAAAAGGCGACGGAAGAGTCCCTTGCGTTTATGATCCGATACTCAAGCGGAGTTGTGTGTGCGCCGCTGACGGTGCAACGGATCAACGAGTTGCAGCTGCCTATGATGGTGCCCAACAACACAGAAGTCCGCAAATGCAAGTTTACCGTCACGGTAGACCTCGACGAAGGCAACACGACGGGTATTTCCGCAGCAGATCGCGCGCGAACCATCCGCGCTCTTGCGGACCCAACTGTATCTGCCTCTGCGTTCAACCGACCGGGGCATGTGTTTCCCTTGGTGTCTGTCGACGGAGGTGTCTTGGCACGCGGTAATTCACCTCATGTTCTCTCGTCCTTCCTCGTCATCTCATTGCACATGATGGATGTAGCGGGACACACGGAAGCATCCGTGGACCTTGCGCGCCTTGCCGGGTGCACGCCCGCGGCGTTCATCTGCGAGATCAACGACGATTACGGCCGCATGCTGCGTCGGCCGCAGCTGGAAGTGTTTGCCCAGACCCATCAGTTGCATTTGATTACCATTTCCGACTTGATTCGGTATCGTTTTTCCCGCGAAACAGGTATTAATAATTGCATCGAGCTCTATTTTTCGATATAATTTCTCTGTTTTCGTCAAATTTTCACTCTTTTCTATTTTTTCAAATATCACACCCTGGACATAACTCATCATTGTTGCAGTTGTCCAGCGATTGACGGAACCAACGGTACTTCACACGCCCTTCGGCGCCGCGACCAAGATCACGTTCGGGTCGACGTATGATGACCAGCGGTGCGTTCCCTGGATGAGTGTGCATGATGACGAGTCGAGCCAGTTCTCAAACGATATGTGTGGATGTTCTAGGTATGATGCTTTGGTGGTGGGACAGGTCACGTCCACAGGAACGCTCGTGCATTTGGTCCAAGGGACGTTGGAAGGGTCGATCGAAGCTCAATTTGCGCACCAGCACATTGTGCGTCAAGGCAAGGCGGGCGTGCTGGTGTTTGTTCCAGGCTATGAAGGTACACTTTACGTCCTTCTGTCGACCCTGAAAAGAGCGCAACGATGGACGTTTGCTGGTATGTAGGGTTGGTGGATGTGAGCGGTGAACTCATGGCGCAACAGAGTATCTTTGGCATGGGACTGCAGATTCTGCGTCAACTGGGTGCGACGTCTGTCGTCCTCGTGGCGGCAACCGCGCCCCTCTTCGACACGAACGGATTTGGCATCGACGTCGAACGCTTTGAAGTGTTGGCGACACAATAGACAACATTGGACATATAGAATATACATACACACTACTACAGCTGAACATGGTAACGTTATGTAGCCAGAAGTAGTCGAGTCGAGACCGTAAGTTAGCATGCTCAAACGAATATGTACCAACCAGTACAGTACGTTCGCAGTGACATTGTGCAGTGACATTGCGCAGTGACATCCTGGTGCATGGCCAGCTTTACATAAGCTTATCGTCGATACAGGTTGTGCATGTAGACTGTAGTCCATCCACACAACGTACAGCTGTGTACATCATGTGGATGCGTGCGCCCTCATGGTGGTCCGAGGAGCTGAGATGGGTGTTGAGGGATGTTCGAGTCAGCACAATACATATGTAGTGCATGCATGTGCATGAGTGAGGGCTGTCTGGATGCATGATGGGTTGCATTCGGCGCAGAACTTACCATATCAGGAGCGCATGCTTGATGGTGATGGCTGGGTTTTGTGACAAGATGCAGTTTGGTTTGGATGAAAATTCTTACGTTAAATGGAGAAGTGGGTGTTGGTTTATTGCACAGATAAGTACAGTGGACGTTGCAATACGCTTATATTTGACTAGTAACTTACACATCTCCGGGTGAAAAGCATCCTCAAATGAAGTACTACTACGTACGTACGTACATGAGGATAGGACGGAGATCCAGGTTGCACGGCTACGAGTGAATGTGTCTGGGTATGGTTGTGTACAGTGATACTGTATAGTCCTGCGTCTTGGTTGGATACGTATACCGGTATCCGTAAGCCGATATTAGGTCGTTTTCAACGTCCAGCAGATATATACGGATACTATCCAGGGAATTCCTCGACATTTCGGCGTTATTTCGCTTGTTTTGCATTACAACCCACCAAGTAACGGTCGTGTAACGTTTTTTAATGTGGTGTCCACCGTCGCCCATTCTCGTACATGGTTCTAATGGCATCATGCTGCCCATCATTCGTGATTCGACATGCCAGCAAGAGACGTCGTCGTGTTCGTATCCTTTGTCGTTGCTGCCGTGGCCACGGCCCAAAGCACAAGGACAGTACCGTCTCATCACCCTGCCGTTGACCCGCTGCCGTGGATCCTCGGCACGGTCCTCGGAGTGCTGCTCACGATCTGCATTGGACTGTGCGTTATTTGGATACGCGAGTCTCGTGAACGATCACATGACTCTCCCTTGAAGACCATCACCATATTGCCATCGTTCTCGTCGTCTGCGTCGCCATTTTCCGTCGCCGCACCTTTGACGGACGGCCATCCGAACGCATCCACGTGGCAACGAGGCATTTACAAGCTTCGAAGCAGTGCGCAGAACACCCGAGACAGCAACATCCTGAGCTCCACCACGTTCAACAGTCAACTGTTTATGTCTGAACGCAGCGTTGCCATCATGGAAGACAAAGAACTGGACGACAATGACTTTGCCACCGCCGGGCGAGGCGGTACTTTATTGTTGGCGTGGAAGTCCACCGACCTACAGCGCTATCCGCCGAATCTGACAGACAGCCGCCGTCAACTACAGAATCTCGTGCGGCAGTCCATGGTGTCCGAGACTTCATCCTTCGATCTCAGCAGCCGAGGGTGTGAATTCGTAGACCCCGATCACCGCGCGCAGTACCTGCACGATGCCGCACACAAACCGTCACCGTATTTGGGCTGAACTGTTTGTCCGATCTGAGGGAAGAGCGATGTTATATTTATTATTGATGAGCTTGTGCCAATGCCGAGAGCTCATGCGGGCGCCGACACACCATTGTACATTGCCCCAAGAGCGAGAAGCCGAAGGATTTGGCGTTCAAGCTGTAGTCGTCGTCGGATTCCAATTTCCAGTGGTCGACAGCTGTGAGGGGGCCTTTGGGAATAATTGTTGCTGCATAAATGCTAGCGATAAACAATTAATATGAACATTGTAGCTCACAGGCCAAGCTACAAAGTGAGCATTTAAACACATCTTCAATATTGATATTCTCGCTAAAGCGATGTTGCAAAGTTCCAACATGAGTCACTTTTCACCGTATTACATAATATAGTTCCATATCTAATAAACGCGTTTTTCTTTCTATGCATAAAAATAGGTGAAAATCTGAGAAAAATCCTTTCATTATCGATACACATTATCAAGAGCCCCCTCGCAGCTGTCGACTACAGTGTTAAGAGACATGGAACAATTTAAGGGACATCGGATTCAGCCAATCACTCACCTTGAAATTTGTGTACGAATACCTCTTTAAATAAGTGTTCTACTGGATCCCATGAGTTTACAGTTAATATATATCAATTAATATAAATCAATTAACCAATTGGCTCTATAAATACATAACCTGTTAGGGTTGCATATGTACCTGATAGAATATTATACCCTAACCACAAAAAATATATGCAAGGATTAATACTACGATCAACCTTATCCACTACTTTTTAGGTGTTTTGTGTGGAAAATTGGATATTAGGACATGATAGATACTGTGAAAATCGATGTTTCAGTGCGTCCTGGAAAGACCTGTGTTTCCTCTTGAATTATCAGTTTTCAAAGTCGAAACCCATTGCTTAGTGCCGAGCCGAGCATCTCCAACGGTATTTCTATTTCTATTTCAATTCGAAGTTACGGATATAGACTTGAGACTCTTTCACTATCCAGAGGGTTTGTAGCTATTTCACGCGAAAATAGAAATTCTGCGCGACGTAATTTCTAAAAAGTCTGGATAATGTTAGTTCCCCAATATCAGCCGTAAAAAGGAAGTTTGACTTTACTGTTAACCTGTTGTTGTGTAGAAGCAAGTTGTGCGAACGCACAAAGCTAGCAGTGTACAGTTTACTCGTGTTATTGTTGTGTTTATTCTACAACCAAATGTACAGAAGAATCGGCAGAAGAGTTGAGTCAATCAGATTGCGAGAAACTATCAACAACGTCAATGATTTCGATACCAATCACCACAGGACACCTTTTTACATACAAAATTCAGTACAAAGAATCAATCGATACATTTGACGAATCAGCACAAAAGTTCCAATTTTTGGTAAATGGACATTCTACGGAATTCGTAGGCCAGAACTTGACTTTTGTATGCAATCGTAGGCGCACACCCCTACGATTTCGCCATTTCGAAATCCTCCACCTCGTTTTTTTTTCAAGTTATATACGAATTTGTAGCAAACATAAAATTTCGCAGTTCATTTGTGAATTGACGAAATGGTCCTACGATTTTCATATCCAATGAGATCTCAAGAAAATCACAAATTGCCAATCCTCCTCTATCGTACACGTCACATGCCAAAAGGGAATGTGAGGCGTCCTAATGGTAATGCCATTCATAGCACTAGGTATGTCACGTTAGCAGTGCGCAAGTTGTGCTGCATTGCATTACTACGTAGTAGGAAGGAGCGATCGTTATGGAAGAGTTATAGTGATATGTTGATAGTCGAGCTGGACGCGTTTGCGAATATCAAGACTTTATGGAAATTCTTACTATTAATAGTATATGGGCCATAAGCACACAAGAGAAGTAAGTATATCTCTGTTATGAAGCAAGTATTGAACTATTTACGGGTCAAGTTGTTGACAGTGGCCTATCTACATTTCTCCAATTCAAGTGCACACAAGTGCATAAATCTACTTCAGGAGTGTCGTTAATATCACGTGGTTGGATGTTTACCTTTGAGGACCTTGACGTACTAGTATGTAGTATGTATGGCATTACATTACACCATGCAGAGGCACGTTGGAGTCGTCCGACGGTAGCTGATGCCTTTCAAGCGGGCAAGGTCATGGTGACGGAATGGATGCTTACTACAGTCAACGTTGATGTCGAAACTACTACCGTAGTACATGACTATGATATTCCATCGACGCATAATTGCACTCGTATCATGCAGCCTGCATTGCCAAGGACTATCCTCAATAGTGTTTCGTGATGAGCACGGATTTGTGATTGAATTATCCAATCACTGTACACTAGTGTTTTCATTGGTTAAATATGAAATCGTAGGCAATCTCCCTACGAATTCCATAAATAAGTCAATACAATGCCTCTACCTTAACGTTAAATCAGAAGAAACAAAGCAATTCAAATATTGAATATTCTATGCCCTTTCAGTGGAGGTCATTGAAAATAGTGGGGGGGCCCATATACTGTATTGTGCTTTTCACGTAATTTGCCCGTTGTTTAACTGCGTTAAGCAACCAGACGTTTAAAATAATATAAGCCCGATTGAAGGTAAAACAACGCTAAAACCAAGTTCTGCATTTACAATTAATTACTTTATTTCATCCGCTAACTAATCGAGTTACAGCACCAGGCCAACTTACGCAGTGCAACCACCAGTTCATCACGATACATTCCGTATTAGGATGTGAAATGGGAGTACTATACATCGTGTAGTTGATGTGAGCCCTTGCTTTCCACGCACAGTACTAAATGTAGTACATATCAAGTGTTGTAGGTATGGCATAGCTTTGACTCATTGGACAGAGCGACGACTAGCCTAACTATATCCCTCACGTTATAAACTACTCGGAGTAGTTAATGTTTGTAGTGATCACGGATGGGAGGTCATGTATGTGGCCATAGCTTCTTCAGTTTCATTGCGGCATGCACCTTGACGGGTTGACGTAAATAAAACAAGTTGTTTGTCAGAATGAAAACGGCAAACAACTTGTTTTACGAAAGTGCCTGTAAAATTCCATTCTAAGCTGAAGAACATAAAGAACATAGGTTAAATAAATTTACTAGTATTATTATAATAATTGCGATTGTATAAATTCGGCTTTGGGTGAGAAATCCCTGATGTGACTTTGCTGTTGTCCTACTCCAGAGTACGTAGTACAGTGTACTACAGTACTACCAGAGACGTCATCTTTACAGCACGTACGCTCGTGTCCCGCGCGCATCGCGGCGATGTATGCGAGTGTCCAAGCAGCGTTGGTTCATGCCATCATCACCAATGCGACTACGTCGATCACGTCTCCACCGTCCCCATCTTCAACTCCGCGTCCCTCTCGTCAAGTCGAGCTCGCATCGATTCCATGGGCTGCCATCGTCGTAGGTGGCATACCTGCCTTGCTGCTGTGTGCTGTCGTGTGCATGTGGTGTCGACGTCGCAGCCAGACAAGACAGCAGCGTAGATCGAGCAACCCATCGAATTCTGACGAGCAACTGTCGTCGAAACCTCTTGCATCGTCCAGCACAATCGGAGCCCCTCCATACCCGAGATTCTATCACCCCCAAGCTCCCAACGAACATGCTTCGCAGCCACCATCGATCCAATTGTCGTCCAACGCCAGCTCCGTCCCCCCTGTATTGCGTGGTCCGTTGTCATCGGCAAAGGCGTCCATGGAGGTGCCGCCTCGATACTACTCAGACCAATCCACCTCATTGTCATATCCACATGAAGCAAGGAGGGCAAGCAATGGCGCTCAAGGTCGCACTTCACTCGAAGACGTATGGAAACAATGGCCAAATGGATCGACGGGTTCGCGGTCGTTCGACACCCACGTGTCCAGCGCGGCAGACTATGTCGAATCGAATCCGTTAGCGCACTTTTCTCAGCCTCCTCCACCCGCAGCTGCATTCAACGGTGCATGGCAACTATCACATCCAGGAAACCGCCAAGACGACGTGTCGGATACGTTCATGTATGCGACATCGAGTTCGACGACGGCGGAGTACGGGTACGAGGCGACCATGCATGCTGCGCCAACGGCAGACTTGACACCATTTGGACGGGATGGTCCCAATCAAAGACCAAGTTATGCCTCGACCTGCATTACTGGAATGCCTTCACTGGATACATACAGGAGGTAAACAAACACTGTCTGTAATTAACAGTTAAAGGGAAATAAATATATTCTCTGCAAAAAGTACTCAATGCCTACTACTACAGTAGTACGTACAGTAAGTACTACTACACTGTATTAATACGTAGTACGTATTAATAGTAGTATTATTAATAATTAGTACTTTTATAGCACTACGTAGTACCTACTCCGGAGTACTCATGCCATTGCCTTCACATTCACACACCCAAGGAGGTTGCAAAGGTGTATTTCCGAGCTGTAAACATGCGTGGCATTCTACCGCCGGCGGCTGCGCGAGTCTCGATCGCGGCTTCGACGGCTGCCCCGATCTCGACCGCCGTCGCCCCTTTCTCCAAAGAGTCGACGTCAGCCGTTAAGCGGCAACGAATTCAAGATCATTCGAGCGTTCATGACGATCGAGTGATCTTGAATGTATCCCGCTTCCCTCGTGCGTTCACTATTGTCGTGGTTGGTGTGCGTCATCGCCCTTTGCAAAGCCAACAGCTTAGCGACTGTGCAGAAATGCGCATTAATGATAGTAGCCCTCCATCGCCCAGCGAGGTTGCTCTGGGCCAGTTCAGGGCAATGAAAGGATTGTGTCCACTGTTCCGAACATAGCGCACAGCAAACTCGCTGGATGCTGACCAGTTGGCGGCGGGTCAGCAATTCGAATTGACTTTTGGAAATGGTGATGCAAGCTTGCTACTACAGTACACCCACATGTCAAGTTGAAATGAATTTCCAGTCTATGTGAAATGAACACGTTCGAAACACGACGATTTTCATATCAACATGAATTCTTTAACATTCAACTTGAAACATGGTACTTTGTTTCATATATATTCTGGTGAATGATTTGGATAAAGGAGGAAGATGGGTGAGGGAGGGTAGACATGATGATTGAATCACTATTGAATACTGAAGGGTAGTATAATTCATCACCTTATGGTCACTATAGTATAGTTGAAGTAAGTTTAACGTTTCATTTTGATGTGAACATTTTTCATGTTGAGATGTGAAACTGCACTTGTGAAATCTTATAATATTTCTGCATTTCACATTGACTGGAAATTCATTTCAACTTGAACGGGAAATGGTGTAGTTGAAGTAAGTTTAACGTTTCATTTTGAAGTGAACATTTTTCATGTTGAGATGTGAAACTGCACTTGTGAAATCTTATAATATTTCTGTATTTCACATTGACTGGAAATTCATTTCAACTTGAACGGGAAGTGGTGTAGGTCTTTCGCTGCGGAATACATTACTGGTATAACGACATGAGTTCTGTAGTCATTACCGACGCCAACAACGCTAACTACACCGCGCATTGGACCAGTTTACTACGCGGCGCCAACTGCTGCCTTTGTACAGCTTTGCCATGTCAATTGCCAAAGTATAGTCGTGGGAAATTATCAGCTTGGGTTTTGTATTGAATTTTGAAATGCTAGTAAATGCGAAATATCTTGAGCGATTTCGAATATATTGCACCATTTGAGCAATAACTTACTGCTTCTGTTTCGGTATTTCAGTACACTTGTAGAATTGATTAACAGTAAGTATGGTGCAAGTCATCTAAAGACTACAGATCGGCCATCCTCAGGAGGAGACGTTTTACTATTAAACGCCTCGGTTCTTTCAGTTAAACCCACGAAATCTTGACGTTAAATCATTATTAGTTACGTTTTTTACCTGGTAATTTGGTTAAACATTGTGAATAATCCAGATACAATGAAAACGTTCGTACGGATAAGTGCTGTATACAAAGACCAAGATATACTTGATACTCCTTTTCGACCAAAATGTACCTGGTTCCATATATCTCCGTACAGAAAGGCCGGTTGGTTTAAATTCTATTACTCAATCAATTTTTCACCAATCAAAAATCTGAACCGTAACTTCTGTTGGGCTTGTCCAGTTCTATCGTTATTACGGTATATTTTCCTAAATAATATCAATACAAAGTTGGAATAGCTGTCGAAAGTCAAGGCATTTATTTGTAGTCTTTAGGTGACTTGCACCATATATGACAGAATTTGAGAAGTACAACTGTGTATTTATAGCTGGCAAGCCAATGAACTTATAGCTGGCAAGCCAATGAACGTCAAGTTTCGTTTCCAACATTACGACGCCATATCTATTCAGTATAAGTGCTCCCAGCGACAAGACTCACCAGGCCAGACGAAACGTCATCATCGTCGATGCAAAGCGAAGCAAACCATCCTCCGCAACGTTTACATGCCATGGGGAACTGACAATTTCGATTTGTCGTGCGGACGTTTCTGTATCATTTCAGTCATGAAACGCCACGACGGAGTCTAATAAAACGTTTCTTGGCACGGGGTTATGAGGTATGAGAGTATTCTGCTATGCAGTTCCTAGTGAACTTTCGCAAAATTTGCATTTCAGTTCGAGTTAGCATCACATTTCAGTACAACGTGTTTGGTATATAATGACTTGTCAATAAGAATAGTATCAAACATTTAGTATTGATAAATCCTGAACTGCCAGAACGCACACTCCTCCACACATACCGGTATACAAGCTACTTCGCAAACGATTGTCTAGGACTATTCAGCTCGTCCTAGCACCAACTTTCCCACATATATCGAAGGGTTAATTGTATTAACAGTAAAGCATACCAAAATAATGTATAATGTAAATGACAATCTAATTTCAATGTTGACGTTGCAGGATGACTTCAAAAGCTGCAAGGACCCGGACGCGTCGGCTTTGGCCTTGTTCTCTCAACCTTGGGGTGCGACAATTGAGGTGCTTCGGTCATGTTCCACAGCCGTGTAGAAGCCGGTGAAGTCCAATAAATCAATTTTGGAGAGCGTATCCGACCCGTTCAAAGTGATGTTTGGAGAAGGTGATCTCGAGTTCATGAAAGGAGTATGCATCGACAGTACCATTCGACAAACTCGAGTAAAATGAAACTGTTTGTACTACTGATCAACTTTTGAGGGCAAGGTTATCCATTGCCCTCCATGTTCATTGAACCAAGCAGTAGGTATGTATGTACACATACACTGTAAAAATAGAAACTGTACATAACGATTGATTCATATATATGTTCAGTACACGTTGCATGTACACTGTTCTGATAATGTGTCTAGGTACCAGTGGTGTGAAACTGATGTACTGGGTCCACAGACTACGTCCGTCTTGGGTTCATATCGACAAAGAGGTCAATAGCTTGGTCTTTGTTCGTTGCAGTCTCAAGAAAGTTCACGAGCTCGGAGAGGCTCACCTGATTTGGGTCCCACGAGACACGGATATTTGCCCCGGGAAGGTACACCATACGTTGGACTATGAGGTCTCCAACGAGATCGAGTGGAATCTATTTGACAAAGGGAATGAATGACACGAGGCGTTCACTATCCCCCACATTGCTCATTGTGGCGGAGATGCCAGAGAGCTCATCAAAGCAATTGGGGAATGCAAATGATGGTAGATGAAGGGGTAGGATTGTTTGGCGACCATTTTTCGTCGATCGCACGACTTGAAATTCTTGTGAACTGGAGACGTTCCAGCTCGTTTCGAGGCCAGTTCGAGTGGTGGCGCGTGGTGTGGAGAGTGGGAGTGCATTGACGTTAGAGTAGTTGGTGTTTCAACCAGCGGTTCACTGACTCTTGGGTCAACCGGGGGAAATGGTGCAGCAGTGTTATCGCCCGTGTGGGCGTCATTGGGACTTGCCTCCACTGACATATCAACGTCACGACCTCTAAAGCGACAGGAGATGTTAGCGGGTCAACCATTCCAGCAGGACGATCGGACAAAAATTGAGGGTGTGATCGCCAAAAACCCAAATCGACGACTTCGTTAAGCAGCGCAGTCTCACGCACGACGAGAAGCTTGACATTCTGTGGCTTTAAGCTACTCTGTGTGAAGACAACACTGTAGATTTCGCTGGCACCATAGCCCGGCTGCTTGGTCGAAGTACACGTACTGTTAAAGCGGTTCTGGCTGAGTACATGCAAACAGGAAATGTCACAGTCGCAAATTTACCATCCAACACGACAATTCATCATTCACGCGTGCCAAACACACGTGAAGTTCGGGACCTTGTGCAGACTTTTGTCCGCGATCGATCTGTCACCCACACGCGCACTGTGGCGAAGGACGTTATCGCCTTGCTGCAAGATGCCCACGTGGTCATCGTTGCCGATGGAGCCAAAGACCACGCCGCTTGTCTACGCGCCGTTCAGCGCTTCTTGGACAAGCAAGGCTAAGGACGTGGCAAGCCCTCTCGCAACACAACGTATCGGATGGCCACAGCGCACGAGCAAGCCCGCGATTCGTACGTCAACTTCATGTGGCCGACAGTCATGACACTCCCCGGCGACCGGTGGTATACCAGGACGAGAGTTTTATCCACCACTACACCCGACATGCCGACAGTATCTACGACCCCACGGACACCGCAAAGACGAAGCCAAAGCTCAATGGTCGACGTTAACGTAAGGGGCAAATCTAAGCACACTTTTTCATCGCGTCGTGGTAAAAATCTCGTAGCACCGCCCTGATGAATCGGACGGAAATTCCAAATTGTGCTCTGTGAAGCTGAGATAGCGTGCTATCAGATTCCGTCTAATCTATCGAGTTTCATTTGCTTTTGGCATCGTTAAATCCGATTTTCTAAGCAGATTCACTGATATTGAGAGGTCCAATTGAAGGTGCATTTTTGTATCTTGAACAAATTATAGAAAAATGCATATTTTTTGCAGGGATAGGGTATTCAATGTTGGAAGGAAAATATTATAACGAGACAGGATATACAATTATACGGTCGATGCCTCTCGGGTGACATTTCCGATTTTCCAGCAAACATGACATGCAACCAAATGAACTGGACAGCCAAACTTGTTTCGGTATTATACTACTATCTCCTCGGAAGTAGACCTAATCTGTCCATCAGGCAATGGCATCAAGCCCTGCGTCGCTGCAAAGCTGGCCCACTACAAGGCAGTGTCTTGAGCGACGACGTTTCCCTTCGTACGATCCAGCACTCGCTGTATGGTAGCGTCCAG